GAAGCTGTGGATCAGTTTTAGTTACGAGAGGCACCAGAGCAGTGCTTTTACTCCAGAGCAGTCCTGTACTCAAGAAAGCTCTGATAAATCCATTCATTCTGGAGAATAAATCATTCATGAGCTCTCAGGTTAAAAAAAATCACGCCCCGAGTTAGTTGCTCTACGGACAAGAAGCAGTAGGTGAGAATGGTATTTGCTGAGGGAACATCACTGTAGGCATGACTGGCCTTTGTTTCAAGGAAAGAATCATTAGTTCAATTTTTGGAAGAGAAAGAAGGTGATTGTCTCTGTTTCTGTCTCTTTTTAGCACTCAGAATCTGATCTTCAGAATTCTTCAGATCCTGTCCCTGCATCTGGCAGGGACTGTTTTTCCTCTAGCACCCTCTAGAGGAAAGAGTATGTGTTTCAGGTGGGGCAGCAACCATCATTTCCGGAACTTTGGCCTGCTCCCTTCCCCGCTGGCCTGGCCAGCAAGGGGTGTAGTGTAGCTGAATGTTTATCTGCTTCTGACTCTCACCACCACGGAGAACAAAACTGCTTGGCTGTGGGTGGTGGCACAACAGCTTGAGGAGGCAGATATAAAGGCTGGCAACAGCGGAGTACACAGCTGGAGGGCGGCAATCACGACAGTTTTAGCCAGTAACCCAAATCTCCAGTGCCCACGAGTCTGCAGCCTTAACATTGGGCTCTAGAAGCTCCAGGCTCTGCATTCTCTGTCTCAGCTTTAATCTCTTCTAGAGATTAAAGCTGAGTGCTAGTCCAACTTGTCCTTGAACACTTCCAGGGAGAGGGAACTCTCTACCTTTTGAGAAGCTCTCTTCGCATTTGGATGTCCTGATTGTTACAGTGTTGTCATAACAGTCTGGACTCTTTTTCTCTGTGGTTTGAACTCACTATTCCTGGTTGTTCCTTTTGGAGCTCAAAGTAAAGTCCAAACCTGTTCACTTGACAGCCCTTCAAACCAAATATTTGCACACAGCCATCATATCTTTCAGATAATCTTTTTTTTTTTTTCCTGACCAAATTCCATTTCCTTCAACCATTTCTTATATGATCTGGTTCTGAATCCTCTCATATCCTGATTGTTCCTTGATACTCAATATCGTAGGTGTGAGATAAACAGAGCAGAGCAGAATCATCTCCTTCCTTATTCTATATACTTTAATTCGACTAGTCTAAGACTGTATTGCTTTTCTGGCAACCCAAACACATAGGTAACTCATACATGATTATTTTCTGCTAAAATTTATTTTCTTGGTTCTACTTACTAAATCACATCTTTCCAATCCAGAACTTGCTCAGGTAATTTTTTGGACCCAAATACGTAACCCAACATTTATCTTTTTTGTTAGATTTGGCCCACTCATCTGTCTCCTTTTGGATCCCAGTTCTGCCCCCGACCTTGCATTTGTGATCCACCTCAACTTTGTGTCATCCACATAATTGATGGCCATGTGTTCCATACTTTGAATAAAATTAGTGTTAAGGACATTGAATAGGGCAAGGCCAAAGATAAAGCTCTGGTACATCACTAGAAAACTGATTGCAGGCTGTCACGATCCTCTCACCTGTACCACTGATTTTTTTTCAATTAGACTGGTATTCTGTTCATTCCCCCCCGCGCCCCCCCCCACCCTCCGATGTATCCCCAAGGACATAATGAGAGATCTGGTCAAAATTCTTGCTTAGCTGCTTCATTTCTCTGATTTGCCACTTTGGTAACCTTGTTGTAGAAGGAAATAAGGTTAGTTTGGTATGACATGTTCTTAGTAACCTCATTCTGGGTTCTACCGATAACTGCCTTTCCCTCACTCTGCCCACATACCACAATCTTAATATTCCATTCTAGAATTTTGCCTAGGATCAATATCTCACCTGTTTGTCTGTAGTTTGTGAAATGTACCTCATTTTTCTTATGGAAAATTAAAATTATGTTCACTCATCCACAACTTTTTAGCACTTCCTCTGTTCTCTAACAGTTCCTCAAAAATCTCTTATGGAAGTTTTACTTTTCAAGAGTTTGAGGATCAAAAGAAAAGGCATGTTAATGTGTAAACTTTAAAATGGTATATAGATGCAGGCATCATGGTGGTGGTTTCTTACTACTGAGTAGTGAATGGGTCTTTACTTGGGATCTAAATAAGAATTCTTCAAACTTCAGAATTACAGAGCTTCCCTTTTGCTCCAAAGTAGCTAAGGATATTGGGCAGCAGATGGAATCCCTGTTTGGCCAAGTAGTCTCACTTGGGGCAAATGTTCCAAGTGGGTAGGGGCTAGTAAAATGAGCTCCTGGTTGATTCTGAACATTCTGAGATTCTCACCCTTTGGTAATCGCCACTTTAGTGCCTTCTTAGGTGGATATATGAATGGACCCAAACAATTTTGAGTTTTCCAGGCTGTGGAGAAGGTGGAGTAGGGGCAGTGTGAAGAAGAATGACAAAATGCAATGGCTCAGACTTCTCGGAAAGGAGAATGTGATGAGCCTCTGTCCCCCAAGGATCAAACACCCCTGAGAACACCCTGCTCCTTCGCAGAAGATCCGGCCATCATATCCAGAGTCAAAGGGCTCAAGTGATTAAAATTCTTTCTCTGCTGGAAAAGTACAAGTTACTCCTTGGGCAGGGATGCCAGGCACCTTGTATTAAGTGATCTGTCTCCTATTTCAGAGACTTGTCCTACTTTCTACTATCAGGACAAATAGCAATCCTGAATTTGTTTATGCAGACATAGCCACTAACATACACTACTAACCTTCCTACTTTACTCAAAACAATTTTGCCACCTCCAATCTGGAATTTCTCCCAGTCCTTGGGAAAATATTCTAGTGCTGCCAGAAAGCTTCAGCATGTTGCCTCTCCTTTTGCCATTGCTTATTTCTTCTTGCTCTTTTTGTCCTGTCTGTGCTCTTCCTAACACCACCCTAGAACCTAACTCAGACCAAAGTTCTCCAGATGATAGTGATGATGATGATGATGATGATGATGATGATACTGATACATAGTGAATTGGGCTGGGTGCTTAGAGAACATTTTGAAAAGTAGAATGGGCAGTTTCTGTTATTTTCTGAGCCAGATGAATATCTTAGTATCACCAATAGTATAGACTTGCAGTTAGGAGAAAACATGGAGAAAGGGTATGTATGTGTTAATGAGGATTGGTAACAGAATAGTCTTTCTTGCTGATGCCATTAATGAGGGTAGGGAGGAACCCTACTTCAGAATTAGAGATCTTCACAGAATTTGTTTTGTGGTAAATGGAAATCAGTAGAGCCTTCTTTACTCTGGCCCCACATTCAAGAAACTATGAATTTATTAATCTTTTCTCTCGGCCTCTCCTAAGAATTACAAACATTAGACTGCATTGCAATTATTTGCTTATTGAATACCTCTTTCTCACTAGGCTGTGAGTTCTTGGAGAGCAAGGATGTCATTTTCATCTTTGACTTACCACCATCTTGTACAGTGCCTGGCATATAGCAAATGCTCAATAAATATTTGCTAATAAAAGAACAAGTCAGTGGTACCAAAATGAATGTTACTTCTTCCTTTCCATGGAGTGGAGGCTAGGAGTTGGCTGGATTTCTGCAATAACCACCATTATACTGTCTTCTTCCCTCTAGATGACATCAGTTGCCAAGGTATATTACAGTCAGACCACTCAGACAGAAAGTCGGCCCCTGATGGGCCCAGGGATACGACGGCGGAGAGTCCTGACAAAAGATGGTCGCAGCAACGTGAGAATGGAGCATATTGCTGACAAACGCTTCCTCTACCTCAAGGACCTGTGGACAACCTTCATCGACATGCAGTGGCGCTACAAGCTTCTGCTCTTCTCTGCAACTTTTGCAGGCACCTGGTTCCTCTTTGGCGTGGTGTGGTATCTGGTAGCTGTAGCTCATGGAGACCTGCTGGAGCTGGGCCCCCCAGCCAACCATACCCCCTGTGTGGTACAGGTACACACACTCACTGGGGCCTTCCTCTTCTCCCTCGAATCCCAGACCACCATTGGTTATGGTTTCCGCTACATCAGTGAGGAGTGCCCACTGGCCATTGTGCTTCTGATTGCCCAGCTGGTACTCACCACTATCCTGGAAATCTTCATCACAGGTACCTTCCTGGCAAAGATTGCTCGTCCCAAGAAGCGGGCTGAGACCATTCGTTTCAGCCAGCACGCAGTCGTAGCAGCCCACAATGGGAAGCCCTGCCTTATGATCCGAGTCGCCAATATGCGTAAGAGCCTCCTCATTGGCTGCCAGGTGACAGGCAAACTGCTTCAGACACACCAGACCAAGGAGGGCGAGAATATCCGGCTCAACCAGGTCAACGTGACTTTCCAAGTAGACACGGCCTCTGACAGCCCCTTCCTCATTTTACCCCTTACCTTCTACCATGTGGTAGATGAAACCAGTCCCTTGAAAGACCTCCCGCTTCGCAGTGGTGAGGGTGACTTTGAGCTGGTGCTAATCCTAAGTGGGACAGTGGAATCCACCAGTGCAACTTGCCAAGTGCGTACTTCTTACCTGCCAGAGGAGATCCTTTGGGGCTATGAGTTCACACCTGCCATCTCACTGTCAGCCAGTGGCAAATACGTAGCTGACTTTAGCCTTTTTGACCAAGTTGTGAAAGTGGCCCCTCCTAGTGGCCTCCGTGACAGCACTGTACGCTATGGAGACCCCGAAAAGCTCAAGCTGGAGGAGTCATTAAGGGAACAAGCTGAGAAGGAGGGCAGTGCCCTTAGTGTGCGTATCAGCAACGTCTGATAGCTTGGTTTCCTACCTCCCTATCCCTCTGGTTTCATTTCCCCTTTTGGTACACCGGGTGAGGATATTACCCAGGCTTACTGGAGAGTTCCAGAAGCACTCATTCCCTACTCCCTCTCCTTTAACCCAGTGGCCTGTGGGTAGTCTAGGCCAACTGGAGTCCAAATTTTCCTCCCATTCTCTCCTTTCACTGTACCCCACTTCCACCGCATTATACACACCTCTCCTAAGCCAGGATGGGGGAAGGAGAGGGAAGATTAGGCTGAAGTGGTTTAGAGGCCTCAGCCATGCTTGGAGACTCATGTTAGGAGGACCATGCAGTTGGATGGAGAGACTCCCCCCACCTCCCACCACCAGCAGAAAGTTTGCTGACTTGAGGATGAAGCCCCCTCCCTCTCTAACTTTCCATCTAGCAAGTTCCTTAAGGCAAGATTCTCTGATGGTCCCTTTGGGGTTTGTGTCCTCAGAAATATAGGAATCTGCAATCAACTTATCCTGGGATCTCTGCCAACCCGTTGAAAGAAGTCAGGGTTTTTCATGGCGAATTTCTGTTGGGACCTCCTGACTATAACCTAGGACCCTGGTTACCTCTGTTCTCCTCTTTCTAAAGTGGACCCTCTCTTAGGATACCCAGTTCTCTCACAGATTCCTGTGCTCTCAGAGAATTAGGTTGACCCAGGAAATAGAAAACCGATAGTCACAACCACACCTGCATCCATCTTGGATTCTGAACTCTTCAATGTGGAGTGACCAGTGCAGAGCTGTTGTCCAAATCCTTAAACCTGTCCTCCAGGCTGCCCTGGGAAGATTGGTTTCCCTGTGTCCTGTGAATGGGATGCCCCTCGTCAATATGTTTCCCTGGAAAGAGTCCAGCACCTAGACCCCATGGAAAGCTCTGGAAATGGTGTTCCAGATTACACTCCCCCTGGCTTCTCTTTTGCTCAGTCTATTCTTCCCTTAACCCCAAAACTTCAGAGGGAAGGAGTGAAAATGCAAGGGCATCTCCCTCTTAATACTGATGTTTGACTAAAACTAGACTCACAGGGCACAAAGTTCCCAGGAAAGTTAAATCAACCCCACTGGGAATGAGTAAATTCTCAGATTTCCAGACTGCTCTATAGAGCCTCTGGGAATTGGGAATGCTTTGTTAAGGTTTGGGCAGAGGCAGGGCTCTGTGGCCAGCAGACACTATTCTCCCTGTTACCCCTTACAGTGCCCTCTGAAAAGTGCCAGCTATTTCATTTGGCAATGCTGAGAGGGAAGGAAATTAAACCTCCTGATCAAATAACTATGGTCTCCCTTGGCTATTTTTGAGATTTAGTATAAAATGAGTAGCAGTATCATCTCTCCTTTGCCATAAGGCCAGTTTCAGGCAAGTTAAAGGCATACTTTAAAAGATCAGACTCAGGCCGTTCCTTTTTCTCCTTGGGGACTGGAGTAGGGGTCAGGAAGGGTATATGGGTACTAGAACTTTCTCTAACGCCTCAAATCCCAAGAGTATTTCCCAGTCTCATTTATAAACCAGGGAAATACCTCCCATGCCCCAAAGTGGTTTGGCATAGAATCCCTGTATGAATCAAGTGGCAGTTTGAGGTGGACTCAGCCAATTGTTATAAGCTACACACTTACTTAGAATGTGTGCTGCATCAGTGTGCAGAGCCATGCAGAGAAAATCACAAAATTCTGAGGCTGAAACCACGGTTACCACTTACTACAATGGCACAAGATCCTCTTATATTGATCTCTCTTTGAACTCTAATTATACCTTGAAAATGAAGACCCTTTATTCTCCACTTACTGTAAACCCCACCATTACTCCCTAGCTGTAAGAAAACAAAAACCAGAAAAACTTGAAACCTTGAAACAGAGAACAGAAGGCAAAGAGCCAGCTTCTGGTTTCTTAACTTTGTTTGTTAAACTTACCCGATTTCTTTCAATGTGCAAGGGCAAAAAGCACTGCAGTGTGTGTGTATGTATTCTTATCTATTAGCAAGTTATCCTCCATCTAGTTTCTTCTGTACACAGTGGCTTCCCTCCTGAGGGAATTACTCTTCCCACCCTCTGATGTCTATTCTAAGCCCCCAGATTCTCCTCACATTCTTGGATGACAAAATTAAAACATTTTCTGACTTACCCTTTCTGATTTTCCACCACGATCCCAGACTTTGCTCTAAATTGCATTTTAAATCATACTGTCCTTTTAATCCAGCTTGGCTTATTCTCCCATAACCCGCCTATCCCCCCAACCCAAATGGCTCTTTAGACTGTAGCCCCCATCTCCTCTGAACTGAAATCCTCTTTTAGGCTCTCAGATGGGCTTCAGAAGCAGCCAGGTCTAGTGAGAAATGGGGCCCCTGACAATACCAACCAGGGACTTGGCATGTCAGGAGAGCACTAGGCACATTTCAGAGGATGGGCAAAACAACTGATAAAGGCAAAACAAAAGATGAGAAAGGCCACTACTGAGGAACTTAGTGAAAATGATGACATCCCGAGTTTTACTTGGCTAGCAAACAAGAAGGTAGGTAGAAGCTTGGGGACTTAGAATATGATATATATGAAAAGGTTTATCTAAGAAGAAAGAAACATAATATATATATTTAGAGAGATGTATATAGGACCAAATATACTGAATGTACAGAAAGGAAGTGTTCAGAGATCTTAGCATGGGGGCAGATATGGTTTTAGGGTAGGGCTCCCCAGATTTCCAAACTTACAACCAGTGATCCTGGTTTCAAAATGGAAGTGAGATACTTGATGAAGGCTTTCAGGTTTGATAATGGGAAAGTGAGTGGTGGAAGCTTCAGAAATAAAGAGGCATTCATGAGGCTTTCTATAAACCCTGTGCTGCTGATAGGACCAGGAAGATGGGAGGAAAGGGGAGACACTTCATCCATGGAAATCTAGGAGAAGCCCTACTTATTCTGTGTGCTCCCATCCCCAGAAATGTCCTGTCACTGTAGCACTTTTTAAAAATTTTAAATAAAAGCACCCTTCTGTTTCCCTCCTGAAGTACATTGTATTTTCCTTCTTCCACAGGGGTAGGGGCAACTGCAGCTCCAGCCCCTGGAAGTAATGGCTATTCAACTGAGAAGCTGAACACTTTGGTGTGTGGAGGCACTAAAAAGGAGCCTCGACCCTAGAAAGCAAAGACCAGGATGAAAGTGATGTTGAGCCAAAGAGAGGCAGAGGCCCAGCTCTCAGTGTGGCTGTGAGCAGCCCAAAGTGAATGCTGTCTGTGTTAGAGGGGTCCTAATCCTGGCATTTGGGCATGGGGCACGGTGCTTTGGCTTTGATGCTTCTGTATGAAAATGAGTGGGCTATCAGATGCCCTAGGAGATGGTGCAGTTATATGAGAGGCTTCTAAAACCCCTATTCTATGCTTCACCTCATTATTCTCTGATCTCTGTCAGTTAATAAGACCATCTGGGGATTTCTCTATGAGGCCTGAGCAAAGGAAGCCAGTTTTACTATTGCTACAAGCCAGGACACTGTCCCTTCTCCAAGGCTGCTACCCTGGTCCTGCTAGTTAACCTAATTTATTTGTAAAATAACACTCTACCTTTGCTATAAAGTTAGCATTGGCCCCCAGACTCAGGTATTGGCCAAATCTACTGAAGCAAAAGTAGTTAAGGATAGTTTTCCCATGCCTGGCATTAAAGACTAAACCAGGTCAAATTTACCTAGGAAAAAGACGTGTGAGATTTTTTGGTTTATTTTAGTCTGTTCAGAACGAGCTACTAAATAAATGAATGAATCTGTCCTTCACTCTAGCTTCTTTCAGAAATCCAAACCAGTCCTATTATTAAGACCTGAACTCATAGGCCTATGTATGGGAAAGGAGGCTGTGCTGGAAGAAACTCTGATCTTGGGGCCAGCCTTCCCTTTACTGTTATCATCCATTCCCTTTACTCCTTTCCCATACCTCTTTTCATTAATTTTAGGATCCTTTAACAAAAACCTTTCAAACTCAGTTTTAAAAGGACAAGATTTATGGAGAAAAAAAATTAAGACCCAGAAATCCGAAAACTGGCTCAAGTTAATCCAGGAAAGTCAAGTTTCTTTGGATCCCAGGCATTGTCCCTTGTGGCCAGTGATTGCATGGCCAGTTTCCCTTCCATGCTACCATGTAGACGTTCCTTATTTATTATCCTCAAGGCTCTACAAGCCTACTCATTTCATTGTTGGGTGTTTATTTCCCCAACTCTCAAATAAATGGATTTGTCTTCTATTCATATCTGTCACTAGCCTGAAAAAGCCCTGGTTGTCAGTATCTAGCCCTGAATTATCTCAGACAAGAAGCAACAGATTCCAGTCACCGACTCTTGTTTCCCAGAAATGGAAGGACTGAGGTAGGATAGGGGAGAAAATAGGGGCTCTCATCATCATCAGTAAATACTTATCTATAGTATGTGGGAAACACTAGTTTAGTTTGAGTCATAAGACATGTGAGATATATAAGATACATGAAATATGTAGTCCTTTAAAGTTTGAAGAAACTTACGAATCTGTGAAGAAAACAAGATAAAATAACAAGCAGCATACACTAAGGGAGAGATATACCATTAACATGTTTCAATGAGTGAGATCTCTTTGGAAAATATTTTATAGGGATAGGCATTAAGCAAGGGATGGTTTCAATCTAAGTACTCTGGTTTGAACACATTTGACATGAGAATCAAGAAAAATCAGCAAATACTGAGTTCCTATTACGTGGAAGGTACAATTCAGGTAACAGATATAGAAGACATGATACATGCCATAAAGGGACATAGAGACTTATTGGGCTTTGCACCTGCTGTTCTGTGAAACTCTCTCTACTACTTGCCAATCCCCAACTCTTACTATGCCTATCTTTGAGCAAACCCCTGTTAAAAGCTATGAATGTACCCATATTCCTCTTTCATAGTACTTACCACAGCTGCAATTTTATATTACTTGTGCATCTGACTAATGTCTGTCTTGCTCAGACAGTAAGTGTCTCATGGCACTCAAGGTCATGTGAATAGGATTCATGTCAATGTCTGGTCACCAGGGACCCAGCGACAAGGTGACCAAGCTAAATACCAAGCACCTGGCATGTATGATGCTCAATAAATACAACAAAAGGAAAAGAGAGAGGGAAGGAACTTGCCGAAAGTTCACACAGCTAGTATGCAGCAGAGTTGGTATAATTGTTAAATAACCATAAAAAGTTTAGAGAATATATTTCATAAGGCATGACATCATTAAATGTTAAAAAATAGAACAGACAATAAACACCATTTTGGGGAGGGAGAGATCATTTCTACTTGTTAAGGTCTGGAAAGAATTTACAGAGTTGAGATCTAAGCTCAGCATTAAAGGACAAATAATATTTGAATAAATGCAGAGAAATACAATAACTTGTAGGTGGTAAGCATGAGCAAAAGTACTGTAGGAAGAAAACACAAGGCAAATTTAAGGGATGGTTAATAAATGTAGAATTAAGGGCTTTGTAGGTTGTTCATCTATAGATTGAAAAGATAGGGTAGTGGAGGGATTAAATATCAGTCTAAATAGTTTATTGTTTTTTATAGGCACTTGGGAACTATTGAAGATGTATGAGGAAGGATAGAATCTAATTAAAGTATTATTTATGAATATCAATCTGGCAGTGGAATTCAGAGACAGGAGACACTGAACCAGTTAAGAGACTTGCAAAAGTTTGTGGGAAAGGTAATTGTCACAGATCCTAGTATAGTATAAGTGCTCAATACCTATTAAATTGAGTTGTCGAAGGTCTGGACTAACGATGCTGAGAATGAAAAGAATTAGAAGTAGAGTCAAAGGAAATTACAGGAAATATAAGCAAGATCTAGAAAAAAAAAAAAAAGAAGTGATTGAATTAGTCAGGGCTCCAGCAGGAAACAGATGGCACACTCAAAGGGCTAACTGGACATGGTTTAATGAAGAGATTATGTATAAAGGTGTGGCTTGGGTTAATAATCAACAAGGGATAGTAAAGCATCCAGGAACTCTAAACGGTAGGAAACCTGTACAAGTCTTAAACCGACTGGGACAGTTATTGGACTCTGGTGGGAATTGTCGACAAGGGAGAGGGTTACGGCTTCAGTGGAAGTCATGGCCTTAGGTAGAGGAACTCAGCCACTAACAAAGACCTGCTAGTGCCTCCCATCGGTCTATTCTAATGTGAAGGCCCAGGGCAAGGGATACCATGTGATGTTGCCCATAGAGGTTAACCACGTAGAGCATAGACATGGACAGTGGATCTGGAAACGTAATGAGAGCATATATAGCAGTGACCAAGATCAAGGTCCTAGGTGAGGTTGCTAGCTAAGGATGAGCTATTCACATGTGCTTCCCTAGTCACTGGCTCTAAAAGGATGGAAACCTAGAGGTAGACAGAGAAAGGGGAAATTAGGACTGTAATAGTTCAAGAGGTAATGAACAGTTGAGCATATGAAACGAAGTAGCCCTTTCAGGGAAAGGTCAGTAGAATTCCTAAGCTCAATGCAAAAAGCTCAATATGGGGTCCGTAGACTCTGTGGTACTTCTGTATCACCTAGAAAGTAAAGAAAATCAGACCTCCCTGTCCAATTTATTTTACTGGACTTAAGTCCCTTCTTCATTCCCGCAACTACTATCTATATCTCACTCATTTGACTTCAGTGACTCAAACTTAGTTTCTTGTTTAGTTGTTTTTTTATCTGTTCAAATTAGGTGCCTCTCCCTTCTTTACTAGGTCGGCTCTACAGGGACAAATTGGCTGAGGCCTTTCTGCCATAACACCTAAACTAACCCAGCCAAGGGTACTCTTAGTTAATCCTCAGACATTTATCTCCCACATCCTCTACCTTCTGGGACTAAGTCTCACTTTTATGGCAGAGGAAAAGAATAAGTCAGAGATAGAGTCACAGAGAGACTATCAGAAAGATTTGGATAAGAGATCAATGAGAGGAGGCAGAAATTAGAATTCATCATCAACATTTTATTTGTAGGTTTGTCACATAGTGGTTAAGAATATTCTGGGCTGATTAGAAAAAATGAAATCCTACCATTTGCAATGACATGGATGACTAGAGGTTCTAATGCTGAGTGAAATAAGTCGACAGAGAAAGATAAATACCATATGATTTCACTTATATGAGGAATCTAAGGAACAAAAAACTAATCAAAAACAGACTCACAAATATAGAGGACAATTTGGTGATGGACAGAGGGGAGGGAGGTTGGAGGGCTGGGACAATGGGGTTAAGGATAAAAGAAGTACAAATTAGTAGTTGATAGATAGTCACGGGGATGGGGAGCACAGCATAGGGAATGCAGTTACCATTAATATATTGGCTAGGTGGAAAACCAGAGGAGAGAAAGAGCAATTAAGGGGATCATTTTATAAACTATATAAATGTCTAACCAATATACTGTATACTTGAAACAAATTTAAACAAACAAGTAAATAAATAAACAAACATACATAAATAAATAAAAAGAATGCTCTGGGCTGGAGACCTGCTTTTGAGTTCCACCTATCACTAGTTCACTATATGACTTAGAAACATTACTTAATATCCATTAGCCTTGATTTCTTCATTTGTAAAGGTCAGAATATCAACCATCCATGATATTTAGCACAATGCCTGGCACATTGCAAATAATTCCTTGACAAAGCTGGCTATTAAGAAATCAACACCAGCATTATTATTCATTAAATGGTGATGTGCTGCCATTGCATACATGGCTATCACACTGCCAAAAAAAAAAGGTTGAAAGGAATTATCAATATAAGGCATATAATTACACCAAGGCATATAAAAGGGAAAAGATATCAGGATATGAATAAGGAATGTAAAAGATTAACATAGTTCCTCCAAAGGATAACTAACTATAAATTGTATGATGGATAATGGAGGGTAGTCTTGGGAGCTGCATGTTCAGATTGGATGGAATCTCCTACTCTCCTTATGCTAGTTTAGAAGACTCTTCTTAGGAAATAAGATCAATCTGTAAAACCAAGTAAATTAGTATTTGCTGACCATTTGCTCTGTGCCTAAGACTGCAATAAATATGAGTAATTAAAAAAAAAAAATAAGGATAAGATATAATCTCTACCTCAAAAACCCTACAATCTAAAATAAAATATAAAATTCTACAACGTAGACTGTAAGTGCACTAAGTGCCCCATAGAAGGGAAAGAACTAATAGGTTAGAGTCCTTGGTGAAAAATGCATGGAAGTAGGGTTGGAGTGGGGTGGCTGAAGGGGGCAGAACTTGAGGCAGGTAAAGGATATTTGAAAGAAAAAAGGATTGGGAGTTGGGGGCATTCCAAGGATGCCACTCCAGAGGTATTTTGGTAACAGGAACATCTAAAATCTATTCAACTATTATTGAATGCCTACTATAGGTCTGGTAATGTGTTAGATGCTGAGGTACAGAAAAGGATTAGCTCTTTTCTTAAAGAGCTCAAAGTGTCCTGATGGGACACTAGAAGAGAGAAACAAACAAAAAAAATCAGTTGTGACAAATGCTATAATAAAAGGATGGTCATTCCAAGAGGTAGTTTTGCAGCACTGGGACAGCGGGAGCTGGACAGGACTTTCATGTAGCAAGGTAGGGTCTTCTGTGTGAATGACTTGCCAGAGCTTAGAGCCTATTTGTCGCTGGTATCTAAGACATAGTTAACGCCTGAGCCGAGGCCTTAAGGGTTAAGTAGGGACTGGGGAGGGGAAGGCAACCTCGGCAGAACAGCAAAAAACAACGGCACGGCGGCTTAAAGGCCCAACGCAGTTTAGGGACGTTATGAAGCTTCCCGGTCCTCCTTCCCACCCCTCCACCTAGGGTTGCGTAAATTCGAATTTAGATATACAACTAATAATTTCAAAGTACGTATAACTATGTCCCAAATATTGCACGGAACGTTCACACTCTGGGCTCCCTTAAACTCATTCCAGTCGGCCCTGGGGCCTACAACTCCCCAGGATTACCCGCGAGCGGTGAGTAAAGCATGAGAGACTATCAAAGGTTTAGTTTTCCTTCACTTCTACATTTTGCACGCTTTGGTCTGCTTCCCAGCCCTAAGGGATATAACTCGCAGCTCCCTGCGTTCAGGGCTCTGGCTCCACTGATTGAAGTTGGGGCGGGAGAATGAAGGGTTCATTCACACGGGAAAATCTCTCCTCCCTCGGTAAAACGCCAGTCATTGCGGCACTTCCAGAAAACGACCGGAAATTCGCCCCTTCGGAGGCGGAGCGAAAGCGAGACAGCCAATTCAGAGGAATGTAATTTTCTGGCTCGGGTGATTGAGAACCCAGTGTGGAGCCCGCGACCGGAAGCAGTGCGGGGGCGGGACTTCATGCCGGAAGTGCTTGTAGGCTGTTGTTTCTGTTGGCAGCGTGGCTGGTGGGAGATGCCCCGTCCACCTGAGGCTCGGAAACGGAGTGAAAGTTTGCGTTTCGAAGGCAGTTTGGTGCTGGGGCGTTGCGGCTGTCTCGCAGCCAGATCATGGGCTCGACCAAGCACTGGGGAGAATGGTTCTTGAGCCTGCGGGTGCCCCCCGCCGGGGTATTTGGTGTGGCCTTTCTTGCCCGAGTCGCCTTGGTCTTCTATGGGGTCTTCCAGGACCGGACTCTTCTCGTGAGGTACACAGACATCGACTACCAAGTCTTCACGGACGCCGCCCGTTTCGTCACCGAGGGGCGCTCCCCTTATCTCAGGGCGACCTATCGTTACACTCCACTGTTGGCGTGGCTACTCACTCCTAACATCTACCTCAGTGAACTCTTTGGAAAGTTTCTCTTCATCAGCTGCGACCTCTTCACCGCTTTTCTCTTATACCGCCTGCTGCTTCTTAAGGAGCTGGGTCGACGCCAGGCTTGCGGTTACTGTGTCTTTTGGCTTCTTAACCCCCTCCCTATGGCGGTATCCAGCCGAGGCAATGCGGACTCGATCGTCGCCTCCCTGGTGCTTATGGCCCTGTACCTAATAGAAAAAAGACTCGTCGCGTGTGCCGCTGTATTCTACGGTTTCGCAGTGCATATGAAGATGTATCCAGTGACCTATATCCTTCCCATAGCTCTCCACTTGCTTCCGGAACGCGACAATGACGAAAGCCTCTGTCGATCCCGGTACTGCTTCCAGGCTCGTTTTTACGAATTCCTGAAGAGGCTGTGTAATCGGGCTGTGCTGCTCTTTGTAGCAGTTGCTGGACTCACATTTTTTGCCCTGAGTTTCGGTTTTTACCATAAATATGGTTGGGAATTTCTAGAGCACACTTACCTTTATCACTTGACTAGGCGGGATATCCGTCACAACTTTTCTCCATACTTCTACATGCTGTATTTGACCGCAGAGAGCAAGTGGAGTTTTTCCCTGGGAATTGCTGCATTCCTACCACAGTTCATCTTGCTTTCAGCAGTGTCTTTCGCCTATTATAGAGACCTTGTCTTTTGTTGTTTTCTTCATACCTCCATTTTTGTGACTTTTAACAAAGTTTGCACCTCCCAGTACTTTCTTTGGTACCTCTGCCTACTACCCATTGTGATGCCACGAGTGAGAATGCCTTGGAAAAGAGCTGTAGTTCTCCTGATGTTGTGGTTTATAGGGCAGGCCTTATGGCTGGCTCCTGCATATGTTCTTGAGTTTCAAGGAAAGAATACCTTTCTGTTTATCTGGTTAGCTGGTTTGTTCTTCCTTCTTATCAACTGTTCCATCCTAATTCAAATTATTTCCCATTACAAGGAGGAACCCCTGACAGAGAGACTCAAATATGACTAATATATATACTCCAGTTCTTCTGCCACTTCTATTACATTCTGATTGTTCTTAATGGACCAGAAGAATGCTTGGAAAAAATTTTATTTAATTTCTGACGAAAATTAAAATGAGTATTTGCCTCACAAAGAGGACTTAATAATTGAGGTCCATCCTTTAGGAAATTTTAGGACCCATTTATCTGGGAATGGTGGGAAGTAAAGCTTACTTGTTTGAAAGTGGAAGAGCTGATGAAGCTGTCAGATGCTAAAAGGTTTTTGTAGGAAAATACAGCAATATAGTCAGAGACATAAGGTCTAAGCCAGTATTTGTTCCATTTATGGTATGCTACTGTCTGAAGCTCTTATCTTTTTAAAGTTTTCCTGATAGCTATGAAGACGCAAAATATTCCTAAAGTACAGCTTTTAGATATAAAGTGTTAAATAATACTACTGTGCTTAGGTTGAGAAAGTTAATTCTGTATTAAAAGCGGAGGCATAGATAAAGAATCCAAAGAATTTAAATTGTAATCATGTTTCATGTATTTGCTTTATAATTTAGTTCTTCAGCACTTAGTCCCAGTGGAATTAGACTAACATTTGGTTTTATAAAAAGATTAAATTCATCCATCTTTAAACTTGAGTTATTAGATATTTTAAAATAGCGTCTTGCTTTTGATATTTGAGGTCCACAAACGATTAGGACATTTTCATGTTATACCCCATTGTTTTTAATTTTCTGGTTGTTAAAAAAATATTTTTCATCTTAAATTTAAGCCCATCAGGTGTTACTTGTGTTGTAAAAGTGAATGTTAGCAGATTTTAGGTGATAAAAAAATCAAATTGTTAGGCATTTCACAGCTTAAAATTACCCCACTTAAAAAATTTCATGGTAGAAATGAAGACTTATTTGGGAGGCCCCTGGAAAACATGAGGCATCCTAAGTATGCATTAGTCTTCTAGACCAGGAAATTGAGGGAGAGATTGTGGAAATAAGGCTTTGCAGATTCATTTCCCTTATTACTATAATAATTCTGGGAAAAAGTGCTTTCAACCAAACAACCTAAAAAATTTTTTAAAATCTTGCCCATTAGATTGGGGACTCCCTAACTCTAAACTGTAATAGCAATATATGAGTTTGATTTTATGGTTGTGATTTTTAAAGTTGAGTAATTTAATAACATTGTTCTTTCACAGTGAAACACCAAACCAAAACAAAAAAAACTCCAGAGAAGTATGTTTCACGTTGGGTAAGACCTACAAAAGCCTTTGAGAACAAGATGTCTGTAGGCTGGTCATAATTAAGAATGCTGTTACTGACACCATTTAGATGGATATCTTTGAGACCTGCCATTAGAAGGGAAGAATGGGTGGCTTTGCATAGGTTGCTGTTTGGGTGAAAATGGCAGAGAATTAATTGTTGAGTACAGTAGTGACCTTTCTTCTAACATCTAGTCTCATATTCCACATTAGGTTTTATCTTGAGGGCTCTTTGTATATGACTTCACTAATTGCCTTCCAGCCATGGAATTCTTACCTTTTTTTTTTTTCATAATAACGAAAAAATTTTGGGAGCAGAACTGGTGGGGCAAAGGATGGGAAACAGAAGTAGAATTCCAATTTCTCAATATAATTGTCTTTTTGATATTCCCAACTTTTAAAAAATAGTTATAAGTATATTTACTTATTCATTTACTTATTTTTTTACTTTAACATTTTTTGTTGTGGCTCACTCTTCATACTTGCATTGAAATTGCCAAATAATATTTCATCACATAGATGTTTACCTTGTAAATGCATCATTCTTCCACTCATCATTAAGATTGATTCTAATTTTTAGTATTCTAAATAAGATTTAAAAATTTTCCATATTTTAGATCATTCCCTTAAACATTCTTAAAAGTCAATTGAGTTTTGTTGGGGTCTCTGGAGGGAATTTCAACTCCAGATCCTGCCTTGAAGGAAATTCTCTACCAAAGAACTGCAGGCATTTCTTAAAAGATGCAGAGTATTTTGCAAAAAGTTTAGTAAATTAACTCAAATTATTTTCTTTGGTCTCAGTTTGTTTGTTTGTTTGTTTGTTCTGATTTTCTAGTTTTATAAAATCTCTTCATTTGCTATTTTTTTTTGTTTATTGGTTCTTTAATCACACCTTAAAATTGTATAGCGCTTTGACTTATTTCCTACATAATTCTTTTTGTTCTTATACCACACCTTAAGATCAATATACCCATTTACAGATAAGCATTAATTATTAACATGAGGATTGGTTCTCAAGATAGTCTGTGTTCTAAACAGAGGGGACTACATAACTTACTTTCTTCTGTAGTTGCCTTAAGGTTTTCCAAATGTGGTCCCTAAATATCCCTAAATAAATTCCCTGGATTAGGGCCATTGTAAAGGCTAATATATCCCCTACCTCCACACAAAAGAATCTCTTTCTTAAAACCATAGATTTTAGTTACTGACTTCTTAGCATCTGTCTGAATGACTCTGTAAATGACATAGTTTCAAAAGTTTTGTGGGACTTGAAGTTAATTGACTTACGGCTTAATATAGAATATATTTCCTCAGCTGTTTCTGCACTACCACTCCCACCTCAAACAATCTGTACCATGAGTGGAAAAGGAAAAGATGAAAAATTTCACAGGGGTAGTCCCTAAATGCAACCTCTTTCCCCCCAATACTTTATTATCAACACTTTTAAACATTACCCATCTGCCTTCCATCTAAGTTCAACAATTAACATTTAGCCATATTTGCTTTGTTTATATTATTTTGTTTATATAATATTTTTCTGAACCATGGGAAGTTGCACACATCACTGAACTTCACCACAAAATACTTGAGTGTGCATCTCCTAGAAATATTGTCTTAAAAATCTATAATGTTATTGAATACAATTTAACATCCTGTCCATTTTCAAATTCTCCAATTTCGTGTTTAATCTTAAAGAACAGATAGATACTCTTGGATCTTAAAGATACCCTGAAAGATACCACGATAGATAATCCATAATTAAGAAGTTTGGATCTTTTCCTGGTCTTTAAAACAGACAAAAGGGATTTACTTCCCATCAAGTTGAACAAATAATTTTTTTGTGTAAGTCTTTCTGCCTCCTAAGAAAACATAGGGTAGTAATCATCCCTAAGAAGTTTTCCAGATAAAAGATTGTATGTGTTTGGATTCCTAATGTCCACCCCCTGCCAAAAAAAACAAAAACAAAAAAACACCTGATTAGCTGATTTTACATCTTGATGATGGTAAGTTCTGGCTTTTCATGATTAACTGATTTGGAGTACCTATTCTGCGTTATGTGGTTTCATGCAATTTTCACAGCACCACCTTAGAGATGGTATTCACCTTCTACATTTTATAGATGAACAAAGAAGCTCAAAGATTAAATGACTTACTGATAAGTGACAGCTAGAATTTGAAGTGAGTTTCCCTGACTAAATGTCATACCCTTTCCACTGTATTATGTTTTGGATTTTTCCAAAGTGTCCAGACCCAACAGATGAAGATTGCTATTGGAATATAAATGGAATTCAACACTAATAAATGTTTTGCCAACCAATATGTTCCTCCTAATCTTTTAGATATTTGCTTAAGGGGCAGTTCTCTTGCAGTTGTGCAAAAGTTTCTTTCATTCCCAAACTTTCTCTTCAGTAATTCCAGAACTTCGATAACCGGCTCCCACATCCAAACTCTCACTAAATTGTATAATTTCTTTGTTGCTGCTTCCATAGCCTGGTCTAAGAAGTTGATTTGCTAAACCACACGGTAGCCCAACTATTTGTAAATCAAACTATAGAAATATTGTGGCCATTTTAGTATGTAAATGATCATTGCTAAATTTCTCCTGCTGTCAGTGTACATTTTGCAGTGTGTATCTATGCAGGTCAAATTCATGATTTAGACTGATAGCATAGCATGAGAGCTCTGATTCAGATAGCTTAGGTTCAAACCCCAGTGTGTGACTTTAGGCAAGATTCTTTTTAACTAGATAAATTAGTTTTCATTCTATGAAATGGGGATGATAATATAATCCTCATAGAATTGTTTGTAAGGGTTAAGTGAGTTAATATACCCAAAGAGCTTATGCTGGTACAGAGCAAGCTATTCCGCATCGCCTGCCCAGCTTTTAACATCTGTATACAAGTCATTAAAGCAGGAGCTCCTTTTGGAGTTTAGACTTAACTTAAACCTTTCCCCACAAGTCTAATGGATATAGGAAAAGAACCTGGATTTATACTAAATAATTGTTTTAACTATAAACTCTTTCTTCTAATCTTGATCTGGTTCTTTGAAAAGATAGCAGTTTTATATGTAAATATATGTACAGATTTTTCAAATGTCTAGTTCCAGCCTGAGAACTTTATATTTGTGTATTCCTGTCATACATTAGCTAACTCTAAACAGTGCAGATTTGGTTCATGACCCTAAATTACATAGCACTTCTCTCCATTGTATTGAGGGGTCATTCAAGGGTTTGTGCTCTGTCAAAGGAAGTACATGCCTACTGCCTGGGTCAGAATTCTCAGAGTAGTACAATCATATATTCAGCACTGAGAACCAGGAGAACCATTCATTTAGTCTAAGCAAGCATTCATGTTCATTATTCTGAACAAAATCCAGACTAAATGAAAATATTTCTAGCTGCCCAGACCCTTTGCTAATTGTTATGACTTGTATAAAAAAAGGAAATGACACTAATAGTGACTTTAAAAATAATTTAGAGTATGAATATTTGAAGCTCAGTTTATGAATATTTGAAGCTCATTTCATTCCATAAGGAAATTTCCAACTTTCTCTGCTTTCCAGTCTTTTAGCAATTATAGATCCAGGACCTGTGCCAAGTCTTATAATAGTTGAGTAAGACAAGATCTGTGTTCTTGAGGAGTTAACGATAAAGACAGAAACGTACCTTACTAATGAAATGCTACATGATATAATAAATGATATGATGGCACAACCATTCTGTGATTTATAAAATGGAGAAGTAGAGGATAATACTGTTCCTAGTTTACAGATTAGAAAGTCGAAGCTCAGAAATGCTTGCTTAGACTAAATGAAGCTCAGAAATAAGTGACTTTCCAAGGCCAAACACTTTGTTAATAGCAAGACTAGGTCTAATTCTGTATTTTGCAAGTCCTTAACTTCATATGATGGCAGGTGATTACAGTGAAAAAGTTCACTTATTTACCAAGTGTCATTTGTTTAGGAAACTACCTAGCAAAAGGCTGTGTCTTCTAAGTGCCAGGCATTGTTCTAGGCATTGTGGATACAGCTGTGAGTGTGGCACTTTTTCCTCATGGAGCTTACCTTTTCATGGGAGACAAAGGATCAGCAAGTACATGATTGTGATGATTGTCATAAAGAAAAAGTAGGGCAAGCTATGGAAGAAGCAAGTGGTGGCAGTGAAGAGAGGAGTAGGTGGTGTTTTAGATAAAGTACTAAGAGAAGGCATTTTGAGGTGACATTTGAACAGAGACCTGAAGTGAAGACATGACATTCATGCAACTATCTGGGGAAAGAATATATCTTGCTGAATGAGTAGCAGTGTAGACACTCTGAGATGGAAATGAGTTAGGCATATTTAAAGTCCAGCAAGAAGGTGAATATAACTGATTGGAGTGAACAAGGAGCAAACAATGTAATTTGCAGTATCCAGTAGAACAACATGAATGCTAGTTGAAAAATACAATTTACATTAGCATTTTTAGTGGCCTATAATACAGTAACTGGGTTCTATCTATTTTTTCCTAACATTTGAGCACAAGTTAATTTGTAAGGAAGATGAAACATATTTAAATAGCTTATATCAGAGCAGGGCCACAAAGTACTTTCATACATTGTTTTGAGATGTGAGGATTTTAAAAAATGCCATTTTACAGATGAGAACCCTAAGGCTCCAAATATATGCAGTTTGCCTAAGAGACAGGACCAGAATCCAGATCTTCAGGAGCCTAACTTACTACTCCTTTCTCTGTACTCCCCTTATTTAAATATGGTGAGAAGACAACCCAGTGGACCCTAGAAGGCAAGAAATTCAGGAAAAAATTGTTCACCAGATCATTTATTCATTCATTTAGTAAACACTTATTAAGAGCCTACTTTGTGCCAGGCACTCTGCTAGGCTGGGAGGATAAGGATAATTATGACAATAGTCCTAGTTTCAAGGAACTTACAATACCTAATAGAGGATACAAATGGAAAGATGATAACTCAATGTGACAATGGCTAGAGTAAAGTACATATGAAGTAGTTGGGAGCACTTCACTAATCCATCAGTTGGACAAGGCTAGCACAGACCTAAGTACACGCTAGTGTTAATTAAACAAGGAAGCTGTTAGACCGAGGTGGTTCTAATGCCTTAGCAGTCTATGTAAGCAAACCAAAACTAAGCCCGTAAATGCCTCAAGATTAAGAAATTAAAACCTGAGAACAACCCAAACATCAACAGCCAAGGTAACTTTCCCAAATAACACAACAGATTAAGCTACAGCAAATCAAATAATTTCCCTGCTTTGCTTCTGCCTTCTCTCTATGCAAGTCTTTCCCTTAGCTCCTGTCAGTGAAGCACTCCTGGATACTACTAAATCAAAAATTGATTTGAATTGAGGAAGTCAATACTTTGAATTGACTTCCTCAATTCAAATCAATTTTTGCTCAAACAAACTCTTAAAAAATTTAATATGCCTCACTAGGTACTGAAAATTTTGTTATCTTACCTGTTTTTCTTTAATACTAGTTAAGTTTGGGGTGTGGGGGGCTATTCTTTGAAACTCCCTTGCTGAAAATCACTTGGTGATTAATTATACTTTTGCTAATCCTTAGCTCACAAGACCTTTTATGAACTGGCTCCACATCTCAAGCTTCATCTTCCACCTCACCCCACTCTACAGTTATACCAAATTATACCACCTCTTTGCCTTTGCATCTGCTGTTCCTTTGGCTAAAACATTCTTCTCATTCCGTCATCTCTCTGACTAGCTCCTGTTCAGTTTAAGAATGACCTTCACAAAACATTCTCTGATTCAGTACCTCTATTATATAGTGCAGATCACATTGTACTGTGTATCCCACTTGTGCGTCTTGCCATCTAGACTGTGAGCTCCCTAAATACAGTGATTATTTCTTATTCAATGATGATATTTTCCTGGGGCTTTCCCAGAAGCAAGCAAGGCCAGACAGGAGTAACAATGTCATTGAGCTGCTGGATGTGCCCCATACTCTCCTAGGTTCGTTGAACTGAGTTGTACTTGAATCAGTCAAGTGAGAGCTGGAGATGGTGGGCTCCTTTGCATGGTTAATGGTGGCGGCTATGAAAAGAACAGGACCAGTTTCTGGGTGCCTGTCATTTCTAAATGCCATCAGTATCCACCAAATTTTCTAAGCTAGAATCTTATAATCACTTCCTATTCCTTCTTCTTCACTGGCTACATTCCTCCCCATCTAATCAGTCACTAAATCCTGTCAGTTCTACCTTTTAATGTCCGTGGAGCCTACTGGCATCTTGCCATTGTCATTGCAAAGTCTGCAGTTCAGGCCCTCATTATCTGGAATGAATAGCTTCTGACAGGTTGGTTGTCTTGTTTCCTGTCTCTCCCGCCCTTCATTCCACCTCTCATTTATTTTCCCCACTGCTGCCAGAGCATGCTTTCTAAAGCAGATCTAATCCTGTCACCATCCTGATAAAAGCATCCTCGAAGGTTCCGTGACCTGCAAGAAAAAGTCCAAATTTCTTCCTTCCTCCGTCTTGCACTGATTTCTCCTATTCAGCTCACCCTAGACCACTGGATAACAGTTTCCCGAAATTACCAGACTATTAAGCTTTTCCTCATGCTGTTTCTCTGTCTAGTGTGCTTCTGTTTTTCAGATGAGCTGCTACTCATTTTTCAAGACCCAACTCACAGGACCCTTTCTCTATCAGAAGGCATGCAAGGTGAATTTCTGGAAAGAGGTTAACTTTTAAAAAAATTAAAGAAAAATAGGGCCAGAATTGTGTAAGATTTGGTAAATAACCTTTAGTAATGCATTTTGTCTATTATAGTTGTTTGTCTCTTTCTCTCAGAGTCAGGTAGCTCCTGGAGAACTAGAATTGTTTTTGTGTTTATATCCTTAGCATTCAACATAAATACTCAATAAATATATGTTAAATAAAGCTGGAATGGGGAAGGAACAAATGTTTACTGAGCACTTATTGTGAACTTATATGCTTTTCACACATTTCATTTCACTTCATTCTCAAAACAACTTTTTGAGATAAATATTATTTGCTGACAAAAAACAGACTCAGATAAATAGTATTTTTCAAGGTCATAAGCTTATAGGGATGGAGCTAGAGTTGGAAGCTAAATCTGGCTGACTCTGAACCCTTCCTCTAGAATTCTCAGCCGGGAGCAATTTTGCCCCCCACTCCGGGGACATTTTTGGTTGTCACAACTGGGAGATGTTATTGGCATCTAGTGGATGGAGGCCAGGAGTGCTGCTAAACATTTTCCAATGCACAGGAAAGCCACCTACAACAAAGACTTTTCTGGCCCCAAATGCCATAGGATCAAGATTGAGAAA